CTTTTGTTTGAGACAAGGTTTCTCTGTGTAGCTTTGTAGACCAGGGTGGTCTCGAACTCACAGAAATCTGCCTGCCTCTGCCTCCCAAATGCTGGGTTTAAAGGTGTGTGCCACCACTGCCCGGCCTTAGAATTTCTTTTTCATTGTCACTTTTTTATTTTTTGAGACAGGGTCTCCTTATATAGCTCTGGTTAGCCTCAAACTTGAAGTGCCCCGTCTCTGTTTCTGTATCCCAAATACAGAGATTACATACTGTGGTGGTTTGAAAGAAGTGAGTGGCACTATTAGGAGGTGTGGCCTTGCTAGAGTAGGTGTGGCCTTATTGGAGGAAGTGTGTCATTGTGGGGTCATGCTTTGAGACCTCCCATGCTCAAGCACATAGTCTCCTTCTGCTGCCTCAGAATCAAAATGTAAAACTCTCAGCTCCTTCTTCAACACCACGTCTGTCTGCATGCGGCCATGCTGTTCACCAGGATGATAATGGACTAAACTTTTAAAACTGTAAGCCAGTCCCAATTAAATGTTATCCTGTATAAGAGATGAGGTGGTCTAAACACTAAGTTAGACTAAACACTGACTAAGATAAGGCTCATACCACCATGCCCCCATTAGGAACTTTTTAACAAGTCATCCAACATTATTTGGGTTAGGGAGTTCACTTAATATTTGTTTAAGAGACAAATATTATAGCAAGGCATAGTGGTACACAGCTTTAATCCCAGCTATCAGGATATAGAGGCAGGTGGATCTTTGTGAGTTCCAGACCAGCCTGGTTCTACATAGGAGATTTCAAGCCAGTCAAGGCTATATGCAATGAGACCTTGTCTCAAAAAACCCCAACCAACCTACCACTACCCCCCTGCCCCCACGCAAAGAGTTATGAGAATTACTCACTATAATCTGCCACTTTCTTGTAATGATTTAGGGCAACTTCACAATTTTGTAGAACATTGATTCCTGACAAATATCTGTACCCCTAAAGCACAAGCATATATATGTGTTAATATTCAGACAATGTTATAATTATAATACATCTATTTTGGTCTAAGAATATTTACAAACCAGAATCATCTGGGACATCATGCTTCCTCCAGCACTTCCAAAGGTATAATATATCAGTGCCTATGATACAAGAAATACAATTATATTGATTTCCTAAATCTGGAATTCAAGTCAAGCAGTGTTTCTTCATTCCTACCCCAGTAATGAACCAAAAGCCATCCAAAATATGCCCAGAGTTTCCATCTGTTCCGTTAAGATGGTTTCCATTTACTGGGAGTAACCAGAGTGTAGAGTTTGTGATAAAGGCATGGCATGTGGTATTTCATTTTATCACCTTAAAATCCTATTAAGTAGATGGTATCTATCTTCAATAAAGAACTTGATACATGAGACTTTAAGAAGTTTGTGGTGGATTGCTAAATTTCTCTGTTGAGTGGGTACTTTCAATACCACAGTAGAATGAGCCTCTTTAAGAATAAATTCTACTAAATAAAAATAAATTTTGTTTCAGAAAAAAATTCTGTTGACTTTACCTTGGCTTGATCATATTCCATTCCTATTCCATAAGAAGATAAAAATCCTAATGCCTAAAGGGCAAAAGAAAACACAAAACTGAGCCAGTCAATTCACTTCATCTATCTATCTATCTATCTATCTATCTATCTATCTATCTATCTATCTATTATCTATCTATTCTTTCTGTATTTATTTATTAGATTCATTTATTTTATTTGCCTGCATGAATCTATGTTCATCATGTGTGTGCCTGGTATCCTCAGAGGTCAAAAGAGAGTCACTGAAATCCTTGGAGCTGGAGTTAGAGATGGCTGTGAACCTGGGTGACAGGTTCAAGTCATCACCCCTAGCTTTTTATGTGGGTTCTGGAATTTGGAACCCAGATCCTTATGTTTACAGAGCAAGCACTTCCAGAACTGAGCCATAATCTGAGTCCTGTGTAGATTTTGTGATTAGGAAATTGACTCTAGAAGTTTTCTTTTCCCCTCGAAAGCACAGTAATTCTACCACATTCGTGAAATTGCTGTCTTTTACATGATCTGCACACAGATAAAAAACCTCTGACTCTAAACGTCTCCTCCACGTTCTTCACCGGGCTTAGAAAGCTTCCGTTAGGAAGGTTCACCTTGCACACTCATTGCAAGTGGAAAGCCTGGCAAGTCCTCTCCACATGGCAATATGTGTATTTTTTTTTTTCAACATGTGTATTTGAAATGGTTAAATCGGCTCTTTTTAAGGATGCCACTAGCCAATTTTAGATTTAAACAATTTCTTGCAACTCCTGGCAACTTCTGATTCTGCTCAGTTTAGAATCTGGTTCAATTATGTAGAAATTTGACAGTAAACATACTGACCTTTAAAGAGAAGGTGTCATTTGGATTTTTATTTGAAGACTCTCTACCGAGAGTACATCGTTTTGGGCAGGGCTCAGCAAACATGTTGGTCTGGTCCTTTGGAAAAACTGTAAACTGGTGAAGTTGTGAAGTAAAGCTGGTATTAAATGTCTACTCTGTGATGGGGAGGGACATTTCTCTATATAAAGCTTGCTGAAAAGAAAAGGACCGGAGCATGTATCACCATTGTGTCATCAAAGCAGGGTCATACTCCCTCCCTCTTCAGCAGAGTAATAACAGTGAATGAAGGGTTCTGCATCTAGTTCATTTCTATTGTTTTTAATGCTGCTTACAGCATCCAGGACAATAGGAGAAGCTGAAAGGCGTTAAGGCTTGGCACACTGGAATGTGCCAAGTACTGTCCTTTCCTTTGTGCTTGGGCATTGTCATCTAACTGCTCCATAACCATCAGCTTTTAGTGGGTTTCGTGTTTTCTTTTTTGAGATAAGGATAAGATGAAATTTGGTGGATTGCAAAATGATTAAATCTTAACCCAAGAAAGAGACATATTGTGAGCTGACAGAAGAGTGTAGCAGTTTTGAAGGTCGAATTCTGCACACTGACTTGCTCAGAAGACTTGATTTTGAATTCTGCCGGTTTTTGTATGGTACTTAACACAGGGTTAAATGCCTGGGATTTACTGTGAAGGCTTTAGCATAATGGATATTTTACTGTATTTTAAAGTAAATTACTCAGGGTCTGTAATGACAATTTAAAAATCAAATATTTCTGTGTGCTTTTTCTAAGAAATTATTAAAGGAGGAGGAAGATTAAGCAATTTGCCTCTAATTACCGTACAAAGCTGGGAAGCTTTGTGATTTTTACTTTTGGCTCAAACCACATGCCAAAGCAAAGTGTGAATCAGTTCTAATGAGTAACTCAGACACTCCTAATATAAGGCCATTAACATCAAAAACACCCAACAGAAGCCTCGAATCATCTAAGTGATTATTAGATTGATACTAGAGATGATGTTTCAGGCTTAGCACAGTGCTAATGACTATAGTCCTTCCAGGAAACACTTCAACTCTTCAAATTTGAAATAAATGAGGAGTATGTGGAGCCATTGCCATTGAGATATAATTATTTTCAAATCACAGAACACAGTAAAACATCACTCATGTCTTTCTCCTTTATACATCAACTGTAGTTATTTTTATATGATAGAGAGGATTTTCATATAATCTGCGGTAAAACTGTTTTGAATTGTATAGCCAAAGAAGTGTATACATTTAAGTCCAATAACTTTAAAATATTTACATTTGTGTGTGTGTGTGTGTGTGTGTGTGTGTGTGTGTGTGTGTGTGTGTCAATAAGCATGTGGCCTTCAAAGGACAACTCCTGGGAGTCAGCGATCTCCTTTTACCAAGTTGGTAGGCCGATCAAACTCATATTTCAGGCTACACACAAGCACCTTTTCCTGCTGAGTCATTTTCATGGAGACAATATATAGTTCCTGTCTTTTGGAAGGTACTAATTCTTTGTTAATCACCTAAGCAGACTGTCTTTAGAGTCTTAATTACTTCTGTTGTTGCCCTTCAAGAATTTTCTTCAGTTTATTTGGATTTTTAAAAGTTGGGTCTTTCTGAGATCTGTGACACCCCCAGTTCTCTATTGTTTTCCAGAATTTCAGATTGTTTTCCCTTTCCCTCAGACATCACACACACACACACACACACACACACACACATATATATATATATATATATATATTATTTGGTCACATTTCCAGGTTTTTTATGTGCATTTCTGTGTGACATTGTTCTCCCAGTTCCCAGAAACATTTCTGACAATCCAGACAGTGTTCCTAGATTATGGTAGCTCAAACAGCAGGCAACAAAGATGTGCCTGGCCAACCCTATTAGAGAGCTGTTGTCAGGATGGTCTGTGGCACAAAATCTCTTCAACTGGCTGTTCTTTGTACAATGAATGAATGAATGAATGAATGAATGAGTAAATCAATTCCTAGGGAAGTTGCTAGAGGTAACAATGATAGATATAGCTTTAGTTCAGCATCAAGTTCAGCTGTAGTCCTGGAGACTTCCTGCTCATCCATATGCAAATGATTTGTTTCCTAGTCCATATGAAGTCAGCCTGAAGATTAACCGAGTCCAGGATGTCAGAGATGGTGGAAATGGGCTTTAGTAGAGGACTTTTACCAAACAATATTATAACTTGGCACATTTCAACAGTATGACAAATTTGCTTATCAGGTCAACACATATTCCCTCTTCTGGTCTTCTTGAGACCAAAGACACACATGCTGGACAGATAACCCCATTTTTACATATGAGAAAATTGAGACTCAGAGAAGACACATAATAGGGAGGGGGCAGTGTTGGAACCAATGTATAAAACAAAGATTGGCTGACCTAAGACAGAGATGTTGAAGTGAACATTGTCACACACCAGTATGCTTTAATGCCATTTAACATTTGCTAAGGATTCTTGCAGATATTATTTACTTCTTCCAACAGCTTTGTGAAGAGAGCACATTATTACCAATCTTTTTAGGTTTGAGAAAACTGAGGTTTTGAGACATAACTTCTTTAGCGATACCAAAAGTGAAGACAAGATGGAAAGGCTATTGGGATGCAGAACCCAGAGCCACATATGATTGCACATGGCCTGGGAACTCCTCCTTTGCTACCTTACTGTGTACCATGTTTCCTAAAGTTTCCCATCACTTCTCTATAAAAAGATGATCATGGCAATTTATGGCCAGTGGTTGCCATTTAGAGCTGTCTCCTCTGCTACTAGGTTTGCCCTAGAAAATTATTTTCTGATTAACTCTAAAGCCAATGGCAAGCAATTAGACTGTAGTCTGATTGACTTAATTTATATGTGCATTGAAAATAAGGAAAGGAATTAGGTAATATAAATGGTAGGGACATCCAAAGCTTCATATTTTTGATTAACTGAACTCTGAGATTTAACAATTCTTGTATTTTATTAACGTTCACAAATCTGTCTACTGCATTCTTTTATATTAATTGCAAGAATTCTGTGGCAATAAACACCATATCTACCAACATCAATTAAGATCATATGGATCTTCAAATAATTACATTGATCTGTATGTATTTACATAGAAAGATATCCATGGTATAGTAAGTGAATAGAGAGCCAGCTAAGGAACAGCAAATATGTGCGGTCTCATTAAAATAAAAAACTATATGTAGTACAAAAGTTTTAGAAGTAAAATAGTGGGGGCAATATTTTTATAGATTCCTTCTGCCAAACTGAAACTGTGTCTTTTAACAGTCACTTCTCTCTCTCTCTCTCTCTCTCTCTCTCTCTCTCTCTCTCTCTCTCTCTCTCATGACCATGATATTCTAGGCATGGAATTGAATATCCCACAATAACCCCATTAAGCCATTCACTAATAATTAATTACTAATTCATTCACCTTGCATTTTTTTTGTCTCAGACACTTTGCTAAATGTCAGAGATACACTACTGAACAGGGTGCAGTGTCCAATGTTTTATAATTATTTTAACTTAATAGATGCAGACTTAGAGAGTTTGCCCTATCCATCATGAGTATTTTGTTCAACTTCTGGTTCAACTAAGCATACAGACCTACAGGATCCATATGGACTTCACTTGCTACCACTCTTATTCTGGAGAGAATGGTGCAAGTGAACCCCAGTGTGTGCCACTGGGTAAATGTCAAGCCTTCCTTACAGTGTATACAATCTTCTAAGGAGCTGTCATCCCAGATACCACAGATGCAAGGAGATGAGACCTATATATGGAAGATGTGAAAACCATCTTTGTGTAAATGCTTCACCCCCACATAATAACTCCACAAGTACAGATAAAGGGTTCTCACTAAAAGATTTGCCATCATCAGGTTCAATAGTTCATTATGGTTTCTTCTCCTCCAAAGGCAGTTTGCCATTCAGAGGCCATTTCCATCATAAGTCATGCTCAGTAAAGACATAGTTAAAAATTTATTCTTATCAGGTTACCTGGGAAACAGAACTGGAGTGTGAACCAAAGGTCAAATTCTCGTGCATAAGAAGGGGAAAGGGTTTTTGTTCAATAAGTAGCTTATTCACTAAGCAAGCATAATAGTGTATTCAAACTTAATCCGACTCCATGCCTAGTTCCTGTACTGCACTGGATGAGAACAAGAAAGGTCTCTAGTGTGCACCTTTTAGGTGACCTTACTTTTGTCTTCATATGCTCTGAATTCTCATATTTTTAGTTTTTGGTTAATGCTGGTGAATTTTATTTGTGAGTCAGACAAAACCTTTTCATAAAACACTATAGCAACATAAAACATGCCTTAACTTTAAATTAAGTAGTTGAAACAAAATAATGTGTGCAGTTGGATATAATTAGGGTGGTGTAAAAAGAGAGCTGCATAGAGCAAGAGGACCAGTGAAAATACATAGTAGTCCTCTTAACAGCTGAGCCAGGGGATTGATTCCCGAAGGTCTTTGTCTTTATTCTCTCACTACCTCCCACGTCTCTCTTGCTATGTAGATAAGAATGACTGTGAACTCTGCTCCTCCTGCCACCAAGCCCTGTTTTATACAATGCTGGAGCTCAAACTCAAGGCTTCGTTAGTGCCAGGAAAGCACACTATCAACTGAGCTAAATCCCAGCAGTAATTTTTCTGATTTTTTAAAATGAAATGATTATTTTATTCATAAAACACATTTATGAAAATAGAAAAAGAAATGCACTTAGCTTATAAAACATTTGAAATTAAAATTCAGGCAAACATTACCTTAAGAATAGACTTTGTTCCAGATTTCTTTGTAAAGATGAACGAATTCTATTTGTGCTTTAACAGTGTTTGGATTCAGAGGTCTTGTGTCAAAATATACACAAGAATAGATGGGGAGATAGATTAGAGAGCAGTTCTGCTCTGCTCTGTGAACTAGAGCAATTTATCCTGAGTTGTTGCTGTACTCCAGCCTGGACACCATTTCAGTGCGTTCTGGGTGGCCATAGGTCTGGCTCTATGTAGTAGGATGGGGGTATTATTTCTTTTCCCCTTTCATATGTTTGTGTTAACTGAGGATGTAACTATTGAAAAAATTCACTGTTTTTTCAAAACTCACATTTTGAGCTTTGTATGATCCTTCTTTAGCCAAGAACTCATATAGCTGGATAGCTGCTGTTATATTTTGCATGCCGAAATTTCCAAATAGCAAAGCATCAGCCATTTTTTCCATAGCTTTCAAATTTCCCATGTCAGCTGCTCTGGCAAAGAGTATGTAGGCTCTGTTTTGAGAATGTAAAGTCAGGAAGTTGATTCACAAAGATAACATTTCTGCTCCCTCCTTCATACCCCTCTCTAGTGGGTAAACTGTAGTTGTCATTATTAGTAATGATGCAGCTTGGCTGAAATACATTACACTTCTATACCAATAATTCTTTCCCTTCTATGCCAATCAAAGATTGAAATTTCAAAGATGTCTGACAAACTATGAAGCCACTAAAAATGAGATATTTATATAATATATACCATGTATCAAGACTACATTCCAACTAAAATGAAAAATTAAAGACTTATTCTAAAGCTGAGCTCTTCCATGGTCTCTTCCATTATTAATAAGTATTTGTTTTATAAGATAAATTTCAAAAGATACAATAATTATCATAATTGAAATGTCACATCTAGAAAATCTGTGTGACAAGAATGGTGATAAATTTATATTCTAAAATAATCTTTAAAAGCAGAGCTAATTCTTCAACACAGCAAAGGCAGACTGTTTAGAAAAATAACAGTCCAATCACACTTTAATGGGTAGGGTTTTAGCATCTAAGTGCTGGGTTCAAGTTTTGACCCCCTACTTCTTTGTCCTTTCTGCAGCCATAACCCTGGGAATATTGTAGCACCTACTCAAGGCTTCTGTGAGATTACCCTGTGTCATGCTTAGCATAGTGCCTTATTTAGCTAGTACTGTTAGGATGATCTCATTGATTAAAATTTTTATAGCATAGTAATTGTTCTATAATTAGGGGGTAAATGGTGTGAAATTTTAATGGTTAAAATATAGATATTATAAGATTGTCTTACACTGCATTTCCTATTAAAAGTCACCTGATCTGTATTGTATGTAGTGTCAGAAGGTATAACAAGACCCAAAGACATCTCAGAGGCAGAAAGTGTTTGGGGGTTTGTTCTTACTTTTACAAAATTTTTTGGTAGTGTAAGACCAAAAAGCATTACCCATAATTTATGATCTTGGTTCAAATATAGGAACACACACACACACACACGCACGCACGCACGCACGCACGCACGCACCAGTCTTTGATTCCAATTTACAACCACACATACACACACACACACACACACACACACACACACACACACACACACACCAGTCTTCGATTCCAATTTACAACAACCAAGAGAGTTAATTTTATTGCACAGCCTATCTATACTGATGTTAAGGGAAGTTGTTATAGTTGCTAGTTGGCTAGTAGAATAGGCTGAGGAAAAAGATCCTCAGGCAGAGAGATCCAGTTAGGCATTGGAGTTCTGGCTGTCAAAATAGAGGGTCTGTACTCCAGTGGACAAAACTGGAGGCCAGAATATGAAGAAAGAAATCAATCATAGTCAAAGGAAGTTAAGATTCTGCAAAGCAAAGGGCTGAGGAAGAGGTCTCAAAGGTCAATGTGATGACTTAATCTTGATTTTCAACTTGACTAGATTTAGAATCACCATGGAAACATATCTCCGGGTGACTCTATGAGAGTGTTTTCTGAAAGGCTTAAGTAAAGGTTGAAACCCCATCCTGAATGAGAGTGGTACCATCCAATAGGCTAGGGATCTGGACTGAATAAAAAGGAGAAAGCAAGCTTAATGAACATCAGCATCTGTCTCTTTGCTTCTTGACTGTGAACACAATGTGACCAGTTGTCTCGTGGTCCTGCTGTGTGATGTGACCTCAAGTTGTAACTCCCAATAAAGCCTTCTTTAAGTTGTTTTGTTAGATATTTTGTCATAGCTATGAGAAGTGCAACTGATACAGAAAAATGTGTACTAATGTGTGAGGTTATTGATATGGTAAAGACTATGTGACTTATGATCTTTTAGAACTTCTTTGTGGGAGGAATATGCAAGAGTTGGGAAATATGTGCTAGAGAAGTTCTAGAATGCTATGAGCAAGCTTGATGAGCCATTCTGGTGGGAGTGTGGAAGACCTGGATACTGAGTGCACTATCATATATAAGAGAGCATTCATGTTATATTTTGTCTTCATTTTGCCCATGTTCTTAATTTGGGTGACACAGAATTCAAAAAGTTCATTTGGTTGATGGAATTTTATGTCAGGATCATGTTTAGGTTGTGGTATGGCTACATCTCAGTTCTCTTATTTAGATGAGCAATGAGAGAGAGAGAGAGAGAGAGAGAGAGAGAGAGAGAGAGAGAGAGAGAGAGAGAGCGAGAGAGAGAGAGAGCAGAAAAATATGAAAAGCAAGGAGCTTGGTAAGGAAAGGATTGGTGGGAGCAAAAGAATTATGAACAGAGATGGTTTGGACAAAGCATCTGAAAGTATTAAAGAGATTAGTATTGTTAGAAATCTCACACTCTTCACTGGTATAATAAAAAAGGTCCCAGAGGTCAAGTTGCCACTCAATAAAGGATCTAACTTGTGGAAGTAAAAATTCATCTGGAAGGAGAGAGCCTGGGCCAGATCAACAGGTTAGCATTAAACCTGATGACCTGAGTTCAATCCCTAAGACCCTCATGGTGGAAAGAGAGAACTGACCTCTCTCTACACAAGTGCTATGACACACAATAAATAAAGAATAAATACAATTTTTGATTAATAAATGGAAGGAGAGAGCTTGAACTGAGAATGTCACTAAAGAGATTCCTTGTTAGAAAACAACCACCTATGGCAGTGTTTCCTCTGGGGCAGCACACAGGGCTCACTCCCACTGTGTCCAAGAGGACCAGCCTGTATCTTAAACCAGCAGCAGAACTTGGCAGTGTTGCTCATGCAATACTGATTTTTCAGGCATAAAGATGAAAGAATGAAGGAATCATAGAGGCTTTTGCTAAGGCTAGGGACTGAAGCCAGGCAATGTATTGCAGGGTCAGATTCCCTATGAAAAAGCTAAGATGTTAAAACATGAAGGTGGGCAGATAAATCCCATGTTTTAGTGGATACCCAAAGATATTGGAGATGTCATGAATGTAGAATGTCCACTGAGGAAAGCAGCAGGCATGGAATACAACCAAAAAAGACTGTGTCTGGGGTAGGTGGCAAAGCTGGAGGACTGCCCAATACCACTGGAGCTTACATTACTCAGTCACAAGCCCCAAATGCTGGCTTTTCCCTGATGGGTTTCAGTCTTGCTTTGATCTGATCTTTTCTTGGTATGCCCTCATCTCTCCTTTTGGAATGAAATATGGCATTGTATAGTAGGAACATACAGTGTGATTTTTTTTAATTTTACAGTGACTCTGTTGAGTTTCCGAAGAGACTTTGAAGTTTGGATTTTTGAGCAGCTGACAACTTTTGAAGACTTTTAGCAGTTGACTAAGTGCATTTTTCATTATGAGATAAACACGAGACTTTAGGGACCAGGGATGGAATGTTATTCTTTAAAAGTGGTGTGTCTGTGTGGCAAATTGACAAGAGGTGGACATGTGATAATCTTGTCAGACTGATGCAATAGAAACACCTCTGGTGTCTTTGAGAGTGTTTCCAGAAAGATTGAATTGAGGACAGAGACCCACCCTGAGTATAGGTGCAGCCATCACACCGGCTGGGCTCCTATACTGAATAAAAGTGGGAAAGGCAACTGACCGCCAGCATTCATCTCTCCCTGGTTCCTGATTGGTGACCAGGTGCCTCACAGTCCTGCTGCATCACTTCTTGCCATTATGGACTATACCCTTGAACTATGACCCCAAATAAACCCTTGAATTGCCTTTTCTTTGTCACATCAATGAGAAAAGTAACTAATGTACTTGATAAAGACAAATGTCTGGGACCAAGGATAGATACCAGGAAGAGAGCCTGACAATTGGGATACAGTCACCTCACCTGCTGCTATGAAACCCTGTAGCCTACTGGACTGAGAAGGGTACCAGCATAGACCAGGGAAAAGAAACCTGAAATGGGGCATTCCATGCTTGAACAGGGTAGGCATTATAGCTTTCTTATGAGGAAAGTCCAAAGTCATAAAACAGATACCAGAAACAGTACCCAGGACCAGAGAAGTTGTTTTTGGTTAGGAAAGATTAAGAGCTGGCCTGAAGTTCCCAAGAGGAAAAAAAGTAGGAGAATCTGGGTAACATGGACAGACACAATAAACTGAGCAGCTGGCATCACCTGTAAGGGTTCTGGCACTGGCTACTGAGAGGGATGCTAGAGCAGGAGTGTCTAAATGCTTCTCCAGGCTCACCAGTAACTTACTGTGGAGAGCAGCTTGTCTTCATCCCTTCTTTCTGTCAGGAAGTAAGTAGCTCTTACTGAAGGACCAACCCTAAAAAGAATGCATTCAGAATGTCGATGTGGACAAGCTGAAAGGCTTAGTGCCATTTCAATTATGCCATCCCTATCCTGGTAAGTGGCAAAACAAGGAGGTGGGCTGGGGAATTGAATGATTCCCCTTTCTTTGACGGGATACACAGTATTCTTCTCTCTATTTTCATGCATCTTAGATATGAATATACAGGTGTGCTCGACTTAATTAAGGACAGAATGTGTTATCCTAATGTATAAAAACTTTTGCTAAGCATTCCCATAAATTCCTGGGATGTCTAGCTTTGAGCTTTGAGCAACTCTGGTTTTCTGTTTTTCATTGCTCAGCAGGGTCACCTCTGCTTCTGTGAAAATGAGCTGCTCTTCTGTCACTCTTTGGGTGGGGACTGGGTCAGGATAGCCTGGGTAAGAATAGCCTAAAAGCTCCTACGCTGATGGGAGAGGTGCCCTCAGGGCTGCATTTTCCCCTGGTTTTTTTTTTTTTTTTTTTATGCCTGACAGCAAGGATCCCTTCTATGTTATGTTAAGTGGAACAGCTACTTGGGAACTTCTAAGAGTGTTTTTGCATTAGCAGACCAAATTCAGAGTAACCCTGGGCTTGAGAGGCAATACCTAGTGGGCTTCTTCTCTCTAGGCACTCTCATGCTACAGGCTGAGAAAACTACCCCCAGTTTTTGTTCTTTTTAAGAGAGAGAGAGAGTGTGTGTGTGTGTGTGTGTGTGTGTGTGTGTGAGAGAGAGAGAGAGAGAGAGAGAGAGAGTGTGTATGTGTGTGTGTGTGTTACTATAAGTCTTTCCACCAAGCTGCCCAAGCCCTGCTGCCATGTGGGCGCTTTCCTCCAGGCTGCCTAGCCTGCTGCCATATTAAGGCCCCAAGTAAAACACAGAGACTTATATTAGGTACAAATGCTGCTTGGCCAATGACTAGGATTTCTCATCTGCTAGCTCAGTCTTAATTATCATAAATCTATATATTTTATAAGACTTATCTTATAGAGACGCCTTCTGCTGGTACCCTCCCTTGCTGGCTGATCACGTGGTGACTCCAGAGAAGAGACCACGAGGAAGAGAGAGAATGACTTCCTTCTTGTCCTTGCTTATACATGAGTCTGCCTGCTATGACACTTTCTGCCTGGAACTCTACTACATTTCCCAGAACCCTCCTTGACTCCTAGTCTCATCTAACTTGCTGCCTCACTGGCCAAACAGTACTTTATTTATCATCCAATAAGACAAACACATACACAGAATCACTTCCACCGTCATGTGTGTGTATTGTTGTTGTAAATGTATATGTACACATGCAGGTGTGTGTGCATGTTGAGGCCTGATGTTGATGATATTGTGTGTCTTCCTTTGTTATCCTCTAAATTATTTCTTGACATAGGTCTTTTGTTGAGCTCTTAGAACCACTTAGCTAATCTGGATGCCAGGGACTTTGGGGATGTTTGTCCCCACCCCCAATGCTAGGGTGACAGATGTAGAACTCCATGCCTGGCTTTTACATAGGTGCTTAGGATTCAAACTCAGGTAGGTTCTTGTGCTCATGTGGCAGGCATTCCATAGACTGTTGTCTCCCTACCCCCACTCCCAATGCTTGAAAGGGAAAAATGAAGTACCACTTAACCTTGTGAAACTCATCTGCGGACAAAACAATAGCATATACAGTAAAGTGCTTTGAAATCCATAAGGTCTATATGAATACTCAGGTAGAATAAAGCATGCTAAACACAAACATTTTATTTCATTTAAAATTTCTCATAAATTAGAGTAAAAAGTATTTTTGCTGAATGCTTCTATAAGTCACTTAGGTCTGCATTTTGCTTCATGGAAAGGCATACCAGTCTCATACAAGCCTTTTCCTTGTTAAGGGTGATAATTTTGGGAATCCATAAATAATCATTGAACCCTTTTAAAAGCAAAAGCTGATGAACAAGATAAACTTCTTTATTATTACAATAAGGTTTTAGTAATAGACTAGATTTTCTGATTGCCTTTTTTTTCCCACCTGAAAATTTAACTTGGCTAAAGGAACTTGATACTTACTCCATTTTCTGTTTTTGGCTTTTAGACTCCTGGAACATCTTGTTGCCCATCTTAAATAGCTCATCTCCTTTATCTGTGATACTTTTCTTGTCTTGCTTTTTGTCTATATTGGGAGAAAGGGAAAAACCAATATTATTTCTATTTTTAAATTTCAAGAAACAATGTGCTGACGCTGTGCTAGCATTTTGTTTTGAGTTTTACTACTTATTTGTTAAGTGTTTGCATTTCAATTAGATCATTTGGAATTATTCCCAGCTCTGGACCTGAAAGGTAGAGGAAAGAGATGCTACCAATGGAAGGAGAGGTGTTCTCTGCCTAAGAAAAGGATGTGGGCTTCTGTGAGCAGAAGGTTAGAGATCTCTTGGTGCACCCTAGACAGAGGTAGGACCTTAGGTGCTGTGTTCTTAGTCCTGGCTGTCAATGCCGCCCTTGTCTGTGCCATTTGGTCCGTATACTTAGAGCTCTGACATTCTACAAGAACATGGGCCAGGTATCTCCAGGATGACCAGAAGAGGCATAGGAGCTGAAGTGACAATTTTCTTGGGATTTTTCTTTGTGTACGGCTTCTGCCACTCCTTAAAACTTTCTTGAGGTTCTGGGAAAGATACATATACTATCAGTAATAGCTTGCTCATTTATGTGGGAACCCAGCATCAGTCTTACAGACTTAAGAAAAATAAAGAAATGGTATTTTTCTAACATTTGTGCAACACTAATTTTTTTAAAAACACTATTACTTGGTTTACTGATAAGGGAAGCTAATTGGTCAGACTCCTAATTCCCCTTGCTTCAATTCTCTCTCTCTCTCTCTCTCTCTCTCTCTCTCTCTCTCTCTCTCTCTGCTCTCTTCCTTTGTCTTCAAGTCCATTACAATACACAGTGGAACCTGATTAGAAAAATAGAACCTGAAGCCCTTTTAAAAGAAAAACATTTGGGATTTGAAGCCTCATTAACAAGATCACAAGGAACTTCAAGTGGCTCTTTTTCTTCTCTCAGACAAGATAACAAGAGATGTCTATTTTAGAAATTAGAAAAAAAACAAAAGGTAAATTTTAAATTATTTTGAAAGCTTTAAGCTAGTCAATCAATTCAGAAACACCAGACATTTTAACATCTAATTTTGGCTTTGAGTTATATGTTATCTGTACTCATGATTAAAAGGGATAAGTAATAGAGAAAAAAATTGACTAATCTATATATGGAAAAACAATTATTGACATTAGTATACTGTCAAAGCATGAGCATACATTCTGGAAGACTGACTGTAAGGAATGATTTTCCATGACAAATTCCTCCCCAGGGCTTTTACTTTTATTAGTATTGTTTTTTGCCTTCTCAAATGTATTGAAATACATATTTTCACTACTATGACAGGATTCAATTTCCAGATAAAATTATCTTCTTGATGCTTTAATTGTGTTCTTATGATTTAAAGGTTTCCAAATCTGGGAAATTTCAGTAAGGAAACAATTTCAGAAGGCTTTCTGAATTTGATATGAGGCAGACTAAATAGACATAGGAAGAAAACAGAGTGGATGAAATGAACATGGTGGGCCAAGACAACCACTCACAGTCCTTTGCTTTGTTACTACGAAATAATAACATCTCTGTCCATATCATCACCTTGCAAATTTTCCTGCTCCTGTCATGCATCTGATGTGATGACACAGTCTCATAAAAGAACAGTAGGGGGACAGGAGTGAACCTTATTCTTGGAAAGTCATGACCCAGTCCTGGAATTCCTTGTTGCCCCTGAACACACATACACCTTATTCCTCAGTAGTCTTCTTCCCCATGAAGTTTGCCCTTAAGGACAAGCTACCTAAAATAGTGGTGATGTGACTCTGGAGAAACCGATGCCTCCTCTTGAGAATATGTTTATGAGGTACGATAGAAAGTCAGGGAAAATAAGGGGACACGGGAAGGGAAAAGGGACCCTTATTGTTGATTCTGGTTGAAGTTTTTTACTAGCTGAGAATCAAGAATTAAAGCAGCTGGGCATGGTGGCACACACCTTAAATCCCAGCATTTGGGAGGCAGAGGCATGTGGATCTATGAGTATGAGGCCAGTCTAGGCTACAGAGCAAGTTCCAGGATAACAAGGGCTACTCAGAGAAACCTTCTCTTAAAAATAACAACACAAAGATTTAAAGCATAATTAATATTTACTATAAAGACTGTTGTGGTGATTTGAAAGAAAATGCCCCCCAAAGGGAGTGGCACTATTAGGAGGTGTGACTTTATTGGAGTAGGTATGTCCTTGTTGGAGAAAGTGTGTCACTATGGTTTTTTTTTTTTTTTTTTTTGCTCAAGCTTTGCTCAGTGTGACACTGAGACCACTTCCTGTTGTCTGTAAGATGTAGGACTCTCAGCTACTTCACCAGCACCATGTCTGCTTGTATGCTGCATGTCCCAATATGATGATAATGGACTGAACCTTGGAACTGTAAGTATGCAACCCCAATTAAATGTTTTCCTTTCTAAGAGATGCCATGGTCATTGTGTCTCCTCAAAGCATTAGAAACCCTGACAGTTGCCTATATAAAGACAAAATTCCTTTTATATATAGATATTTCAAATATGAATGTTAAAATGGCAACGAACTGTTCCTAATGTTGGAGCATATATGACCTTCTAATATGGCCCATTCCTTTCCCAGACATTTTCTTCGACTCTAACAATCAAGACTAATTTTTGTTTGCAGTGAAAACATTCTAACTTTCTGTGCAACACTGGTGATCTTGAGTTTTCCTTTATCAGTTGTAACCCCATCCAGTACACTTCTGGGGCCACATTATGAGCTCATTAACTATAGCTATAAGTAGCTATAGCATGAAGCTGTGTCTCTGTCCTATATATAACTGATTTTTGTTGCCTTTACTTTGCATGATGGTTTGAATGAAAATGGCCCCCATAGGCATGTTCCAGCTCCTGCAAGTGGTGAACTTGACTGAAGATGGAGTTTCTGTTCCACCTGGTCCCACAACCGTTTAACCCCAAATAAACACACAGAGACTTATATTAATTAGAAAATGTTTGGATGATGACTCAGGCTTCTTATTGGTTAGCTCTCTCTTAATTATTAACCCATTTCTATTAAACTATATATTGCCAAAAGCCTATGGCTTGACCCTCATTGCTCCAGTATGTTACTCTTTCATCAGATACTTGACGTCTCTCTTTTGAGGCTTCTCTCTACCTCCTATCCTCAGAATTCTCCTAGCCCTGCCTATACTTCCTGCCTAGCTTCTAGCCAATCAGTGTTTTATTCATCAACCAATAAAAGAAACATCTAAACAGAAAGACATCCCCCATCACTTGGCAGCTTTTGCCACATTGTTTTGTTTTTAGAGTCAAGTATGTAAGATAGGGGTATTGTTTTAGTTTTAGAGTCAAGTATGTAAGAAAGGAGTTGTGGAATCTCCTTCTGGAACTAAGGAAAGCTGCTGAGGCTAGGCATATGTCAGAGGTGTCCCTAAAGGGAGGTTTAGAGAGGCCATTGTATGAAGCTGTAAAGGTAAAGTCTGGATTGCCTTCGAGCCCCCAAGATGTGGAAGATGCCGTAGTCATGGAGTACCTGCCTAGGAAAGCTGATGACAGAGAATGGAGCCCTTCAAGAGACAGAAAATGTGTTGCTGTCAAAAAAGCTGAAAGGAGTTGGATATTTGAAGAGCACTGATATCAGGCATGGAGATGCAGAGTTTGGAGTTTGCCCAACTGGTTTTTGATCTTGCTTTGATCCAGTATTTCCTCACTATGCTCCCTTTTGGAATGGTAACATATATCCTTTGCCAATATATGTTGGAAGTATGTGATCTGCTTTTTTGATTTTGATTTTACAAGGGATTACAGACAAGAGATTGCCATGGGTCTCAGGAGAGACTTTGAACTTTGGACTTTTAAACAGGGTTGAGAATGTTATAGCCCATCGGGACTTTTGAAGTTGAACTAAATGAATTTTTGAATTATGATATGGCTACAAGCCTGTGGTGGACAGGGAGTGGAATGTGAGGGTTTGAATGAAAATGGCCTCCATAGACTCATAGAAAGTGGGATGATTAGAGGTGTGGCTTTGTTGGACGGAGTATATCACTGGAGAAGGGCTTTGGGGTTTCAAATGCTCAAACAATGCCTACTGTCTTTCTTCAGTCTGCATCTAGATGTAGAAAACTCTTGGATCCTTCTCTAGCACTGTTTGCCTGTGTGCAACTGAGCTTTCCACCATGATGACAATGGACTAAACCTTCAAACTTTAAGCCAGCCTCCAATTAAACATTTTCCTTTATAAGAGTTGCCGTGAGCTGGGTCACCACCTTTAACCCCAGTACTTGGGAGGTAGAGACAGGTGAATCTCTGTGAGTTTGAGACCAGCTTGGTCTACAAAGCAAGTTCTAGGACAGGCTCCAAAGGTGCACAGAGAAACCCTGTCTTGAAAAAAAAAAAAAGAGTTGCTGTGGCCACAGTATCTCCTCACAGTAATGGAATCCCTAACTAAAACACTCTAATCAAAATCCTGCCTCCATTTTCTACTTTGTCTTGTTTTTAATTCTTCCTCTGACAGTGATAAGGCCCTATTAACACTAGATAAATGGCTCTGCTTGGTCTCTTAGTCTTCAGTACTTCTCTACTATGCACTGCCAGCAACAGATGGCCAGCCTGTGGGTACCTGTTCTACTCTTATGAGAAAGCAGACTTACTTATGGTAGGTGTTTAGTTTCATTTTGCTGCTGTAACAAAAACACTCTGACAATTCAAGGATTTACTTCAGCTTACATGTTATAGTCTGTCATTGATGGAAGTCAGGGCAGGAACTTGAAGCAGAAACCATGGAGGACTGCTGTGGCTAGCTCAATCCCAGTCCCATCCTTAGTTAACTTTCTTTTGTTTTGGATTTTATTTATTTTTATTTTATGTATAAAATTGTTTTGCCCGTATGTGTGACTGTGTACTATATGTGTGCCTAGTGTTTGCAGAAGTCAGAAGAGGGTGTCAGGTCCTTTAGAACTGGACTTATAGATGGTTGTGAGCTACTATGTAGGTGGTGGGATTTGAACCTGGGTCCTCTGTAAGAATAAATGCTCTTAACTGCTGGATC